TCAATGGAGAATTTGAAAGTGAAGGGAGTTAGGAGTTGCAATAGTGAGCAATAAGAAAAGGAATAGCCCAGTGATTGAATCTTATGGCTTACATTTGGAGAACTCACTTAGTAAAGGTCCCGATTTCGTAATTTTGTTCGGAAAATTTGAATTTTATGTTTTCGCCTCAAGAAACGCCTGATTGACCTACAGCTTACATTTCCCACTCGGAAATCCTTGACTGTTACTGGTTGATGGATGTTTTTGGCATGCTTTTTTGTGGCTTTCCTAAGGGCGTTTCTATCATTGTATAAATAAGCTTGGGTTGTGTGCTTAGTGACCTCGTATTTTCCGGGCGCTTATAGAATGCATTCTCTATGCCTCATCAAGACTTCTTGATCTACTTAGGGGGACTGGGGACGTCGGATTAGCATAGCTTATCGTATCACTGTGTATTTGACCTTCGTTCCGTTTACCGGGTAAGGTGAACTAGTAATAGCATTGAGCACAGCACATCCCACTTTTCGTCTGGAACTAATCTGATAGTGTAGATGAAACTCTGGCAGATTTTAATCTCCCGTTTAGGTAATTTGAGTGCAACGTAATTAGACACACACTTCTTCCCACAGACTTTGGCTTCCAGAACCTGATGTGATGGTTGACGCTGTCGAATGACTTGAGGCAACTGGAAGGTTAGTATTCATAGGATGGTTGTGTTTCAGTCTGACGGTGTGGATATTCCAGGCAGTCAACATGTCTGTGTGACGTGACATGAATAGAAGAAAGCCATGTGAGCCAGAAACTAAAAGGCTATGAAGTAGATAATCGATGTTGGTTAATTTGAAACTATTTCCGAAACTTATTCCGTACACATATTCAAAACTTCAGTTCTGATATCTCGTCGGTCAAAAGATTTGTGTACATCTAAGCTTTTCGGGATTCCCTCGATTTTTAATGGCTCAAACTACACTATTGTCAAATAGCTATGGGGATGATTGTGACAGTAGTATTGAAATGTGGATATGTTAGAATGCGATTAGAGAGACCGAAATTTTTCCTCTAGTAACCTTACAACATTACAACAGCCTGGTTTTACGGATCAATAAATGACCGCAAACATCCTATTAATGTCAAGTTATTCAAGTATTCATTCACCTCATCTTGTATGGGCACTATATTTCCTATTATTTCATACTGAGTGTTGGAAGAGTTACTCTGTTTGAAATTGATAACCTCAAACTACAACTGTTCCTCTTCACAATGTAAGTAAAGACCTTTTCTTTACTAATCTGGTTTCTTTTATTGATAGAACGAGGAGTGCTTACCGTTACGAAAACCTCTTGATTAGTCCTCACAAAGCTTAGAAATTTTGTCGTAGTTGGATTAGCTAGGCCAGCACACTCTTTCAAGCTGTGAACCAGTAGCGTAGTTGTCAGTTTTGAGAAAGCCTTTTTACTTAGTACATTTTGTTGAATCCATTTTGCAAGTGAAAATCCCTCCGTGCTTACATTTGTGATTTCTTCCTTACATGTTCTTTATTGTATATGTTGTTAACATTTTTGATGCTAATTAAGACTGCAACGTTCAATCTTCTTGGTTTTACTATCGTTTTTTATTGAGTCTCTATGTTCCTTACTGAACTGTATCTAGTTTGTTTTAATTGCTACTATTCTGGCATCTGCCATATTGACTGCTCGCTATTTGATTGTGCGGTTTGATTTTAACTGGGATCGTGCATTGTTGGTTGTAATTTGGAGCACTTTCCCAGAAATTGAAACACTTTGTGTTATAAAATAGCCGCTGAAACGAAATCTCACTTGATCTATCCAGAAAGGATAGAATAACGCTTACCTTTTGGTGTTTTTGATTGAATATTTTGGTATCAATTGTTGGTTGAATAACGGGGTGATAATATTCGTTTAGAACCGTGTTACCCAAAATACCTTGTTTTGATTTAGACTGGGGCACGAGTGTATAAAACAATTCCTCGGTTATTCGGCCACATCCAGACCTATTGGAATCTAGGTTTGCATTTTACTCATTTATCATGTACATTATTTTTGGATGAGCAGTATAATAAGAGGGCATGATCGCTTTGCTCAAGAGGACCCAACACCAGTAAGTTCGTAACTTTCAATTAATGGTTGATGAAAATGTTATCCAGCCCAGAAAATAATTTTTTGTCTTCAGTGATTGCATTGAGCTACATGTTGTTACATCCGAATTCTCCTATAAAATCTCCGACTTCCATAATAGGTTGGGAATTATTGTTTTGAGAACACTGAAGAACAGAAGTTTGTAGACTTATTATTATTGAAAAACACTAAATTGATGCACTTTGAATACTAATTTCATGATATCAGCAGGAAGCGCTATACGGCCATAAAAAAGTTTGCACTCAGAATGTGTATTTAATAGAACACTGAACATGGTGAAAAGGATTTCATTTTTTAATGATGATCAACAAAGAATTCCTTTGTGAGATCCATTTTGAAGGTTTCGTGTGTGAAAATCTCTCCATGCATACATTTGCAACTCGATCTGGACGGTTTCTTTAGTTGTACATTTTTGTTAGTCTTTTGATGCCATTTGAGATTGTAATGTTTCATTTCATAATAGTTTTAGCATTTTCTCTTCCGCTTTCACTGAGTTTATATGTTTCTTCCTGAACTGTATCTACGTTGTTTTAGTTGATATTTAACCTTGGCGGCAGCCATATTGATTGTTCCCTCTTTGATTGTGTTGCTTGATTTGACTGGGATCGTGCATTTTGCTTGTGAACCGAAGCACTTTCCCAGGATTGGAAAGACTTTGTGTCATAAAGCAACCAACGAATTTTTTGCTTGATCTATCCGGAAAGGATGGAATGACACTTGTGTTTTGGTGTGTTCAGTAATTTTATTATATTTCTTATCAATTTGTCTGTTTATCGTAATTTACATAGATTATTGTGGGAACAATTATTGGTTGAATAACTGAGAGGTAATATTTGTTCAGGTATAATTGTACATGGAAGACACATCATTGCCTACATTAACTCATCGTATCTTGACAAATAACATTTTGATATTTAGTACTTCTGAAGTACACATTTGACCTGTGGATAGAATAATACATTTAATATGCATGGTTATAAGTTACATGTAATGACAACGTCTGTAGGGCTGAGCTATGCCATTCGACTAAATGAATGTCCCAACATTCATCATTGCTGAACTTCTCCAAATGTTACATGCTGAATATAAATCGTTCCGACAATTACATGCTCGGATTCGAAAATCGTATAGTTAGTAACCAATGCCTCTACAAGTCTACGATAAAAGTTGACTAAACTTGGCACGACGCCTTATCTAATGATGTCCATCTCTTCCTTGATTAATTCAATCCTTTCTGGGCTAAATAGGTGTAAATAGGTCTAGTGTAAATCCCTTCAGTAAGTGATCTGCGTCAAGGAAGATTTGAACAGGTGATTCAATGTTATTCAAGTATGATCACAGTTTCACCAATATTGTGATCATGGAGACAGTGTGTACATGTTAAGGGGGCTAGTACTTACTGATAGAAACTTCAAAACTTACGTTTATATAAACTTTACATTTTGCGGTAGGTGAATTTGTTAACGTAGAGTGCTCGAAACACATACCACTGTTTTCCATAGTTGTTCTCAAGATTTTCTAACTTTTAGCTTTGCTTTAAAGGGTTAACAAATCACTTGTTACTCGTGATTTGAGTCTGGATGATAAGAGAGAGTTTTTTTATTGTCAACGTACTGGATTCTTGTTATGAAGTTTTTCTGTTTGAAAGTTTGGGCAAATCAGCCTGGAGAATAATAAGAAGTTAATTGTAGAAAGTGAGTTCAAACACATTGGATACAGCATTAGTTATCAGTATACTATTGACGGCTCATCCCTTTCATACGTTCGGAAACATAAATAAAACGCTCTAACCTGTTCCTCGTGTCGCACCGTAGAGTGCGAGGTGACATTATATTGGCATTTCGTATGTTTTATTATGAATTTGGTGTTAATATGTCTTATCTTTTTGCTACTTCTAGCACTGATAATCTCCGAGGTCAAAGGAAGAAGGTTCACAAACAGCGATCTAATAAACTTAAAGTGGGGTTCCATATTTCTCATTTAGTGTTCAATGACTGTAACGCCTAACCCGAACAAGAGGTATCAGTCCCATCGGCGAACATCTTCAAAGAGAAGCTGAACCTTCATTGGAAGGCAAACAGCCAGGATTAACACAGGTCCATCAACTTGTTATCCTTATTACTGAAGACTGACACATCAACTTTTTTCCAAAAGATTCTACTGAAATTCCAGTTCTATTATTTCTGTTGAACAGTTCCGTAGTTTACTGATTTCGACCACATAAGATTTCGACCAGAATTTTATGCAAGCTTTTTCATTTTTAGTCCTAAATTGGTGTTCTGTTAAGTGGCACTTCTGACTACGACTAATTGATGATCTGAAGAAATTTTATAATGTATCGTGAAATCATCGACAGATTTACCTTTTGGTAAATTTAGATTTATTCTGAGGCTTCATTATGTGTTGGTGTAGTTACTTTAGCGCCGTGTGCAGAAGGATCTGGTGAAGAGAAGGACGAGAAAAAATATGGTTTGATAATCCAGTAAGAATGTAGGACCCACTTACAGATTTTGAGGAAAGAAGTCTGCAAGATAGCAGTTACACAGTTGTAAGATTGAAAAAGGTAATAATGAAACATATAAGTTGACAAAGTGAGGTCCCGTGTGGTTTACACCAAAAGTAGGGGAGATCAATAAATTTGAATTAACGGTACTCAGGAATTAGGAATTCATCAAAGACAAGATCTAAAATGCTAACTTCCAATCTTATCCCGAATATTTTTAAAGTTAATCAATAGCTTACAGGCAAATCGGGTTTAAACACTTTATTTCTTTTGTCTATTAATTATATCTTTGAACGTGCTGAATAGTGAATACATTTGAGTAGTGGATTTTCAGTTATGGTATCTACAAGTCAAGGTCACCGATGTTTTCCAAAAAGCAGTCTAATGAGTCGCGGCGGTTGCTCGAGAAAAAAATGTACCTCGTAGGTTAAAACTAAATGTTATGCATAATGAAAAAAATTAATTAAAGCTGATGACATTGTTTTTAATATAAATGGTTTATCAATGTAGCTCAAGCAACAAATAAAAGGCAAATGAAGACGAATAAAGGGAAAATAAGGAGTGCGTTCCGCTAAAATATAAGGGAAAATCGCGCAGAAATGATGTGGAATTATTCTCTTTTCGTCGCTATTTGTCTGGAATGCCGCTGAATTATCTACCTTTCCCCTAGTCCTAAGCTCCATATATATTCACCATTTTTTCCATTGTAAAGCACGATGACTGCTATTAAATACTTTAAAAAATGATACGTGAATAAAGATATCTATTTATGGAAAATAACATCACAGTTTATAAGGAGATCAACAACAGACAAATGCTCGTTACATATTTTGATTGTAGGTTCAATGCCCTACTGTCATTTACGAAGGTCTTCAAAAGAAGATATAGGTAATAGCTTATTATCTTAGAATATGCACTCACTAGTAAGTGCATATGATATCGAACAGGTCCTCACGAATAATGCTTCATTAGTTCCAACGCGTCACATGCAGTCTTCAGTAATAAGGATAGGAGGTCTAGTGACCTATTTTAATCCTTGCAGTTTGTTACACTGTGGAGGTCCAATCTCGTCTTGAATATATCAACAGAAGGTGCTGATATTACGTGTTCTGGTAGGGAATTCCAGTAATTCAGTACTCGGTGCGAGAAACGAAAACTCCAGACGTAGACGATTTGATCTCGGTTTTTGGACTTTCTTTGAATGTCCTCTCAAATGCTCAGCCCTAGACGGGAGGAAAAGATAGGACATGTTAATACCAAGGTCATCGTTCAGGATACGATATGCCAATATTAGATCACCCCGTATTCGCTGGTAAGATAACAGAAATAAGTTGAGGTGTCTCAGTCTGTCTTCATAAGATAGGCTAGATAAGCCTTTTACCATTTTTGTCCCGCGGCGTTGGAATCGTTCCAACATATCCGCCTCATATTTGAAACAAGGACTCACTGCTTGAATCCCATATTCCAAATGTGGCCGTACGAAAGTTGGGTATAATAATCTAAACATTTCCCCATCCAGATACCGGAAAGATCTTCGAATAGACCATAATGCCCTATAGCCTTTTGCAGCAGCAGCCTTACAGTGACTGGTTGTTTTGAGATCATTACTTAGTATGACTCCTAAATCTTTATAGTTTCTTACTTTGGGCAACACTAGTCCACATAATGTGTAGTGATACGAATCATCGTAGTTATTTAATTGCACCACAACACTTTTATTAGGGTTTACTTCTAGTTACCACCCATTCATCCATGCAACTAGTGAGTTAAGATCTTCCTGTAAAACTATTCTGTCTGATCTACTATATATGGGTCTCCAAATCTTAATGTCATCGGCGAATAGTAGGACGGATGACTTAGCTATAGCTGGTAATTCATTTATATAAAATAAAAAGAGAAGAGGACCTAAAATCGTGCCTTGGGGGACGCCACTTTTTACTGGTTCCCACGATGAGAGAGCCCCATTTACTCTTACCCGTTGTCTCCTTTCATGAAGAAAGTCACTTAGCCAGTCTATGTCTGCATAATGAATTCCAAAACTTTCTAGTTTCAATTTAAGACTAGAATGGGAAACCTTATCAAAGGCTTTACTTAGATCTATGAAAATGACATCTACAGGAATATTGCGATCTTTTGCCTCAGCCCAATCTTCACTTGCAATGAGAAGATTTGTCAAACATGATAGACCTTTTCGAAAACCATGTTGTTCCTTTGACAAAAGATCATGTCTTTCCACGTAGTTTATAACAGCCATCCTAATAATTTTTTCCATTAGTTTTACAACTGCACTAGTTAAGCTGACGGGTCGGTAGTTACTAACTAAATCCCTACCCCCAGTCTTATACACCGGACTGATTATTGCGTCCTTCCAGTCTCTGGGCAATCTGGAGTAAGTCAGTAAGTCAGTACATTATGAGGAAAAGAGGTGAAACTATAATTTATGAACGACCTTTGAGCGAAGCTGAGTAAATTAAGATAATTAGAATGTGTTTGTCACAATGATTGACGGTAATGAAGGAGTGAAAATGAAATGAAGTGATATCAGAAACAATGGTAAATAAAACCATGAGGATATGAAACATAAGTAAATAAAGAAGGGGATATTTCCAAACACGAAATTAAAAATAAAAATAATAGTAACGATAATAATAGTTCAAGGCCAATGTCATGATAACGATAAGATGTAATTCTTTTGTATTCACAGTTCATTGTTTGTAAGAGCTTCTGCTGATTTAAGGAGTTGAATGCAAAGAAATCTAGGTAGCTTTGGACGAATTGTGTAGACAACCTAAAAATCAACCTGTGGATCGGTAGATTGATTAGGGTCGATTAGGTGTTCAAGAATGTAACTAACTGCTTCTCTCACCCTTGTAGAACCACATTGAGACATGTTCTCGTTTTTGAACTGAAAGCAAGCGCTGACAACGGTTTATGTACCTTGCTCTACAAGAGCAGGTAAACTGGTAAATGCACATGAAGGCGAACAGATGGGGAAGCTTATCCTTTACCAATGCAGAGAACAGGTTCTTAATAGTGAACGTTACTCTCAGCTTTGCTGCAAAGAACTTCCTTTTTATCGCTGCCGTTAGCCGATTTTTAATTACAAGCTCCTTACAATTCATTGAAGCACGTCAGTCTACTCCGGATGACCGCGACTTTGACCAGAAACGAAGATTGATGTGTAACGGGATTGTACGAGGTTTGCATAAGGACCGGAAAGCCTGGTGGTTGGGGCGTGCTACCGGGCCAGAAACAGCAGCTGCATTTGGTAATTTCCGAAAGCTCTTTCAATTCATCCGAGTCACCAACAGTGAGAAGTCTGGTGTGAGTGGAACAATCTGTGAAGATTATGGGATGCCAATCACTAACATCTATCAATGTCTTCGATGATAGGCAGAGTTTTTCGAGGACTAGTCCAACTGGTCTGCTGCCCCGACAACATGGATCAGACTTTCTTATCCTGCATGACCTGTGACAACTGACCTACCTAACGAGACAAAAGTCCACAAGGAGCTTCAAATCTTGAAGTGCCACGAATCACCAGACTCAAATGACTTACTTTCGGCTCCTTTAATAGATGGTGGCGACCTTCCGGTCAGGGAACAGACTGAGTTTTTTTTACAAAGGTCTGGCAGTTACCGAGTGTTCTAACATCATGGAATGAGTCAATAGTTGTCCTTATATTTAAAAAGAATTCACGTCGTTTCTACAACAACTATCGGGGGATAAGTCTAGTTCCAATTGCGTCCAAGCTATTGGCTTCCATTATACTTCGTAGTTTGTTCAAAACCCGAGAAAGATTATCTCTCGAGGAGCAGGCTGGTTTCCGCACTCAATCAGTTGGCAATCATGATCTAAGTATAGCATATGTTTTGCACTCTCTGGGTTCAAAGTGCTTTTAAAAAACTGGCAAGATCATGAGCTTTCACTCACTCTTGTTAGTAAGCAGATAGAAGAATTATTATTATATCTACAAACCCTCATTGTTATTGTGTGACGCATGTGCATTTGGTGCATCTTTGAACCAATGTTATTGTATTCAAATAAATAAAATATTCACCTAATTAAAACTATCGTTTAAACTTCAGAAGAATGGATTCTTTCTACTTATCAGAGAAGCGGTGGCTCAGTAATAATATTGTTTGACTTCCAGCCACTAAGTAGTCTGTACGAACTCTGCTACCATCTATTTCGGTTCGGGTAACTGGGTCCTATTACTACTAACCCTCACATTTACAGTTTAGCTTCAAGCCAAGTACACAAATCTGTACCTGATAAATGAATTGATATTAATCTTACATACTTATAAATTTTTCTTATTGACTTGAATATCTTCCTCATTTTATATGGAGTTTTTGTGTTGTACTACTTGCAAGTGTAATGATTTGAACCCAGTTATTTATATTTACAAATATTTTCTTTTTGAGATTGCATACTTATTCTATTTTTTATATCTATATAAATTTTAGGCTCGAGAACGTCCAGATGATATATTTGACCTATCTTCATGTGAACTTAAAATGGTAATATAAATACTTTATATTTGATAGGATTACAATTAATATTTAGATTCCTGATGGAACTTTTTCACTTGTTAAGGTTTTACTAAAAACGAAATTATATTTGCAACAAAATTTTTTACAAAAACTTGATTCCGGTGGTAAACTAACATGCCTTCAAAATATTGTATTGCTTGATATAAGTTCAAATGAATTTCAACAATTACCTGATAGTCTTTATGAGTTAAAATGTTTACAGGTAATATTTTGGTCATATTGTTTCTGGTAAAATTAATAGCCTAAAATTATATATTTAGGTTTTAAATGCTTCAAAAAATCTGTTATCAAAATTACCTTCTACCATAACGTCTCTTTCTCAACTTTTATTTCTTAATGTTGAAGGTAAATTGAAGTATAAAAATTTTCACAATAATTTTACACTATATTATTTTCTCCCAATGTTGTGCGCACATATCCTTAGGGTGATATTATTATATGTATATGAGGTTTATATTTTCCCGTTGTTGATATTCGAGGTTACATATAACCGCTCTCTCTCTTGGTATATGCGTTCCTTGAGTAGATGCCTCGAAATTTTCTATGACTACAAGTTCATTGTAAGTATTTTCGATAATGAATAGCATTGAGCGGTGGTCTCATCCTATTTGATACTGCATCTCAGCACTTTTGTTTATATAGATGCAAAACCAAGTACTTGTCGCTTCAAAAGTTAACCCACTACCAATTTAGCAACGGCCACTGCAACTTTTAACTTATATAGTGGATATAACGTTGTTTATTATTAGCAAAGATGGATAGTGGCTAGCAGTGGAATCCAGGATGCGCTTTTCGTCCTATTTGGGACTCGTCAGCCGAATGTGTCTGCATCTCAAGGTTGATGTTCACTCTGGGACTCGAACCCAGTGCCTTTCGCTTCAAATGCTATCGCGTTATTTGCTCAGCTACTGAGTCCTGATAGCCACTTGTTTGTACAATGGGGTAAAGTTTAAATTCATAGGACGAAACGAGTGTCAAAATGGATTCCACTGCTAACCACTATCCATCTTTGCTTATAATGCTTGTGAATTTAGGCTATATCGAAGCAATACGCACAGTTTGCACATATGTCAATTAGAGACTGACCAGTTGCAGTTCTAAACCTCAATGGGAAGATTCAAACAAACAATACTGAATGGAGTTGTTTATTATTGTTTCTTTCCTTCTTTCTCGTTAAGTAAGGTTATAAACGAATATTTCAAGCTAATTGAATATTGTTCTACTCACTTAAGGAAATATCCAATACTCAATGATGAATTGTAGATTTCTAAGGAGTATGTTAACACTTCATTTGTCAAAGCAAAATTTAACTCAATATTCCTTGTACTTAAAAATATTTCAGTTGTTTTAAATTAAATATCGATTGTCTTATGGTCAAAAATCGGTTAAACCGCATTAAAACGATAATATTCAGGCAAACCAATCAAACTTAAGATGAGATCTATTGGAGTGTATACAAAATTCAAAACACAGTGAAAGATAACATATATCTTACTGAGAAGCAAGTAAAATTCCGTATACTCAGTTTTTCAAATACTTGAAACGGTTAAAAGTATCTTTTATGCAACTATATACTGAATGTGAAATGGAGCGTACGCTGAATTACAAGAAACAAATACTCCTAATGCAGACAGTCTGAACATAATGAAGATGATTTAAAGCATAGTGAAGGGTGTTCTATGGGTAAAAAATTATTTAACACTCCAAACCCTAAATCTAATCCTCATCGCTAACTCTCAGTCTTAACACTCCTAACCCCAACTTCTAACAATAACATTCCTACTAGTAACTCGTGACTCCTGCCTGGACTCCTATTTTTCAATTCTAACAGATTTTCGTTTATTTATCATATTAAAGTTGTTTATCCCATTGCAATTTTATTACTGTTCATCACAAATTGATCCCAAAATAAACACTTCTGGTTGCATAATAAACCTTTCAAGATCTCAGTTATAACATAGTTTACTCAGAAACCTTTTGTTCTTAAAACAAAAAAAAACAAAAATATGTTGACATTTTATCAAAAAAATTTATTTTAATTGTTCTACAGATAATCGTCTTACTGAATTACCATCAGATTTTGGAAAATTACAACAAATTACAAAACTTTATTTAAAAAATAATCCTTTATCATCTTTACCTAAACAATTATGCTTTTTGAAAGATTTAAAAGAATTAACTCTTTCCTGCGATCATATACAATATCCTACTTCAGGTGGGTGTAATCTCATTAAATTTCAATGTTGTTTATGAAAAAAGAAAATAGTTAATGTAATTCATTTTCTGAATACAATTTTTGAATCAAACGTTGTTTGAATAGCTTATTTATTATTATATGGACACACAAAGGGGCATCAGATATATATGCCCCGCACAAATCTCATTTGATTTGTGTGAGGGTTGTGATACTGTCCAGGTGCCCAAACTGAAGCAAGTGGTTTTCTTAGGGGACCACACCCGGAACCTTTGACCTGAAGGTCTGATCCACAAGGCGGCAGTGGAGCGTCGTGAGGAGATGCAGTCCGATGGCAGTCAGTGACCAACAATTGATTCATACGCCTTTTATTCATCCAGGATACTGGAGCCAGTCCATATGCACCATTGGTTTGGAATCAGAGTTTTCCAACTCCCCTGGGTGGATCCTCCGTGTCAACCAACCCGGTTAGAGCGCCGGGTATTCGCTTTTTGGTCCTCTCAATTTCGTAAACAACACCTCCGCCAGCTAGTTTGATATTAGCCAGTTGATCAGAATATTGAAGTAATTGGAACAACAGGTTCTTGTTAATCTATTATGGACCAGTCACATAGTTCCATTTTCATTTACTGTTATGCGCACTTGGTAATTTCCTATTTATGTTAGTGTGTGAATAGAAAATTACACCATATTGTTGTATGAGTTCATTCATATAAGGAAACAGACGTACAATAGTGATTTTATTTGTTTGCCGATTTCGTCTATTGATTGGACACTGGATTGAAATTAGTCGGAGGACTGACTAATAAGCGTTACGATCTCGGTATTTATTCATTCATCATTGATACATTGGTGAAATAGATCATCTGGCCTACATCCTTAGAGCGAACTAATCAATAATTTGACTAGACAGTGCTAATGTTTCTATAATAAAGACCCGAACATAAGGACTCCATTACAGCTTAAGAACATGTTTTTTTCGCTTTGAAGAGATAACGGTAAAACAATATATAAAAATTCCGCATTGAATAATTAAATGCCAAAGGTGCTTGAGTTAACGATCGTTTTCAGTAAATTCATTATCTGTCTCTACAGCTAGAAATTCATAATCTCTGTGCTACAATAATCGAAATGTTGCATTTATAAATAAATAGACAGTATTACATGTCATACTAGTAAACTTTTACATTGATTACGACCTAAATGCGTTCAAAATATGTCATTTGAACAGTCATTTAATAGAAGAGGTAGGAAAATTCCTTTCTCTTCCTTTTTCTTCTTATTGATTATTATTATTATTACTATTATTGCAGAGCATTAAGTTAGCATCTAACGGTTTACACACGGTTTCTCACTAAGACTCCAGGAATCACCTCTCAAACTTAGTCACCAGTGAGCACATGATTATTATTACTCTAAGGGGTTTGTGAAGATTTTTAAATTTTATAATTTACATCACGGATCGATCTTGACCATTATAAACCAGGAAACCGTGGATAACTTTTTAGTCTTAGTTTAAAACTTCTCACCAGTGCACACCTATGACTTCAACCACTGGAGATCGAACACAGAGTTTTCATATGTCACGAGGTGTTATTAACCTTAGACCGGCCTTTAAGTTAGCATCCAATTGTTTACTTGTCGAATTTCGATCAATCCATGATATTGCACAGTTGCACTTTTAAGTATTGTTGGAATTTTATTATTGTAATACAGAAGGTCAAGGGTTATTTATTTCCAATTGAATATATATTCTTTTTATGTTGATTATTCTTTTCTAGATATATGTAAGCTGGGACTGGAAGCAATAATGGATTATTTATCTAAAGGTATATTTTCCTAAGAGTACTAATTTATTTTTCTCCACTTTTCTATTATGTCATATTTTCATACTTCGTATTCATAGGTATATTTTTGTCCTATATATTGATCAATTCTCTCCCTTTTTTGATAGTTCACAAATTCTGTTCGTTATATAACTTTACAGACTGACTTGTGATTGACAAGTATTAAGAATTCAGTGGAAATGATTATATCGTTTCAAATCAATCCACCTATAGTATAGGAGTGATATTCAAATGTTTGCTAGAGACAGTAATTTACTCTTTAAATAACTCATTTAAAACGTGGCCACTAAGAGTGTTAGACATACGTAACTTAAAAATATTTCTTGATGGATATTTTCAAACTGTAATGGAAGTAAGCTAAGCTGATGGGAAATTGTAGTGAATTTCTGTTACCTAATACACATTCGCATACTCAATCGGCTTGGAGTCGTACATTTTTTTATGATGGTTGGTGAAACTAACTGAACTCTGAAATTGATGTTTTACATTTCAAATCTACACACAAAGGGTTGGAATTTATATGTTTGCACTAATAAACCAACGCTGATATTAGTTATGGAGTTATAAGTTGAGACTGTTAATATCGATTGCCTCTTAAGTGGTTATGAATGGGAAAGGCGTCCTAATCATCGTCTACTTTGATATGGTATATCAAATGAAGTAAAAGGAAGTTAAAAAAGTCGCATATAAAATTGACTACACTGAGCATGAGAACTAATTCATATGGTATTTGATCTTTGTTTTGAGTGGTGAATGAAATCAAAAACTCAATGAATGACATCTGATTGAAAATCAAAGTCAGATCTCGGTCGTTTTAGGTGTAGTGAACTAGAACACAAGTGGATACAATTGAATGTATTTGAACTCAAAATTACAGAACATCTTAGTAAAATCTGAAAACCATATAGTAAATACTTAATTTGCAAGATGTCAACTAATTGTCTCAAACTTGGCTATTTCTTTTGTAAATATCAGTTAGTCGTCTCAGGCTTCATTGTTCCTGAATTTCCATACCAATTGCTTTCTGTTCCGTTCGTTGCTCCTCGACCTTCTGCTGTCAGATATTCTATTCCTGATCAGCGTTATATACTACTTATGTCGATATAAGTAGCACACACCATATAGGTAATGCTACTTGGAAATACTAAATGTCATCATTACTTACGGTTTTTGTTGCCTGAGTTTGCTTATATGTTTGAATATTTCTATTTGCATTTTACTACTGTAGAGGTCTTTATTTTTCTGTTTATGATCTTCTACTCTTTTCTAATGTAAATTTCTTGGTAGATAGAATCACTATGGAATTATGACGTAAACGACACACAAAAAGTCAAGGCTTAGAGGTCCAATATAATTATTTAGTCGTTGATTTATTTACTGGAGACAATTATTATACCCTGTCTGAACTCTTTCCAAAAGTGTAATTTACTCAGTTTGAACGGTTTGAGGAAGATGAGTTAGACAAAAATGTATACCAAGGAGAAGTAGGAAAAATACAATTGTTTATCGAAAAATGACATGATCGGTTTCTTGTACATTTTTGGATTCATTCATCAGTGCTGATTAGTAAAAAAAATGAACCCATCAGTATGCTTAAATTATGTTTGTACTGAGCATTCTAAATAAATTGTCAAGAATCTATTTTCTTAAAAGTTGTCTTTTATCTATGTAACTAAACTAATCTGCATCAAATAGTTGAACTGTTCAAACTATTACCTAAACAAACTGAGAAGCTATGCCAAAAAAACATGAAGTAAACTTACAGTATTTCATACATCTTAATCTGTTTCATATTATTTATTTATTTAAACACATAAATATTGTACAAGGAAGCGCCAGATATATATGCGCCTCACAAATCTCATTCAATTTGTGTAAGGGCTGTGATGCTGCCCAGGTGCCCAAACTGAAGCAAGTGGTTTTCTTAGAAGTCCACACCCGGACCTTTTGACCTAAAGGTCTAACCCACAAGGCAGTGGAGCGTCGTGAGGAGATGCAGTCCGATGGCAGTCAGTGACCAACAATTGATTCATACGCCATTTGTTCCCCCAGGATACTGAGGCCCATGTGCACCATTGGTTTGCAATCAAAGTTTTCCAACTCCCCTAGGTGGACTCGCCTTGTCCACCAACCCGGTTAAAGCTCCGGGCATTCACTTTTCGTCCTCTCTATTTCGTAAACGACAGTAATGCCATGAGGAGGTAGTGAGTAGAACTTCCCTATCAGAGGCTATATACGCGTGGTCATGTGAGAGCATTTCGAGAGGGAGAGCGGACTCTCCCCACTCTCGACCGTACCAGGGCATTTGGGAGATGATTACTATCAGTAATGTACAGTTACTAATATTTTTGCCAATGGTGAATGTATTACTTTCTTGGTCTAATTACTTCGTAAAGTTATCTTTCTTATTATAATTAAAATAATGAATTTTTTCGTTTAATTGTAAGTTTTCTGTATTATTAACCTTTTTATTTTTCTCAGAAGAAGGAATGAAATGTTGTAATGTTGTTGCTAATCCTGAAAATGTGGTTAGTAATTACACCTCCACAAATAAGAATAACACTTTCAATGAAATGAATGAACGAAAAATGCAAAGTTATTCCAACGATGTAAGTTCATTGAAATATATTTCAGTAAAGTTTAATCCAGTTGTTAAGATCAACTTTCTCTATGCTAGTAACAGTGATAAGTTTTTTTTGTGTGGTGTAACTACATACATCGCCTGTTATTTTTTGGTAATCATTCAAAATAATTGCTATTTGGACGGGTTGATAATTAGTTAATTGATCAGTAACTTTTTGAATATCGACAATACAGCAGTATAGGTTAGGTATCTTCCAATACTGGCGGCTTGTACAAAAGCGAATATCAAAAAGGAAACTTGATGATGTAATATTGACGTAAACGTCAATCAAGTCATATAACTTCTTTTAAATACAGTTCTAAATATGCAAGCTGAAATATCGTACTGTACCATGCACACAGTTTAGTATTCATCTACTTCTTCAATCTTCTATAACAATTTTAATACGTGCTGTTACTTTATTATACTCCTATTTTCCATCCTGTGTTCTTAGTCGCTGCAACGAACTGCTACATCTTCAATTCATTTGAACTAATCCTTTTTTGTAGAGCACTAATGAATTCTTATATGCTTGAATGTGCAGCGCTAATGAATTGACTTAAAGAATCTATATGACCTGTCCGTCACATTCTTTCTTTTAGAAAGATTTTCCATAGCGGAACTGAGAATTTTACACTGCAAATTCTGGAAAATTCGATCACTTCGTTCTTCCCGTAGATTTTTAAATTCAAATATCTTCAAAATAATTTGTTAATACTTTGATTTCTTCATTCGCCACTTCGTTTGGTAAATCCATTAAACTGTCTAATACTTTTACAAAATCTGTGACCGGCACAAAAGCTAATGTTGCCGACTGATAGATTTGCAAGACAAACGTTTTATTTATCGTATATTGTTGTCAAAGGTTTGCTTATTGCTGTAATCCCTGCCGTATACATTGGCTCAGATTTAAATGAACAACAGTGTACTATTTTTTGATACCTCCGTCAAACTACTAATACAGCTGAATATTCGTAATCAGTTATGATAGATAGTGGATTTCAAGTCGGACGTAGTTCATTCAATTCGCTTAAGATGCTCACACAGGAATTTGTACTTTTGTTGTTAATTGGGGGGTAAACCAATAAAATAGTCTTATTGAATCTCATGGCATGAATTGTTTAAACTTAGTTGCTTTTATTTACTCAGATCTACACAATTTATGGTATAAAATTGAATAATATGCTCTGAAAACCTGGCAGGAGAGCAACCCAAATAAAAAATTACGATTTATGTACAATTCAGTCATAAGTAATACAAAAACTGTACAATAAGGAACAGTAAGACATCTAACAACGATTTACAAGTCAAATGATACCTTACAACTAGAACAATATGAAAATATAGTAATCCAAGAATTTGGTAATTATTTAATAAAATTACAAACAATAACTCTGAAATTCCAATCTTTCTCAAATCTTCGATGTGACAAATTTCTCTATATACACTATAGTTTTATTATATCAATCAATCATTTACGTTAATTAACACGTTTCTTTTAATAGTTGAATTCATGAGTCGGTCTAAGATGGACGACCATTGAAAGCCTGGAAGCACTGGACGGCCGTTTCGTTCTAGTATGGGACTCCTCAGCAGTGCACATCCACGATCCCGTATGTGGGATTCGAACCCAGGGCCTTCAGTCTCTCACACAAATGCTTAACCTTTAGACCATTGAGTCGGCATCCAACGGTATTAATATCTTACTTTAATCAACCGATGATCTTCCAAAAACCTTCGTTCATTGTCTGTGTTGGATAACTGTTTCCACATAACATGGATTGGACTACACTGATCACGATTTCTCAATAGAACTCCAGGCTTTCAATGGTGGTTTTGCTTAGATCGACGCATGAATTCAACTATTGCAATTAATGCAATCTCCACAAACCCCATTCTCATAATAATTTGTTTCTATCAATTAATCGGTCTATTTTTAATTTCCTCCAGACATCAACACCATCATCATCATTGACTAATTATACTCAAAAACGAAACGAAGAAAATCTTTTAGCCTTAGAATTAGAACGTCAATCATTGGAAAGTCGTTGGACTAAACAAGAATTAAATTCTAAATTGAATCAAAATAAACAAATACTTGTACAATTAGCAGAAGTAAGTACTATTTATGGTTAATTAAGATGGTCTATCTTACTCAATATTTACATATTCTCATGTATATAGTAATTAAATTCCAAAATTTGATTTTATAGAGATTTGCTGTGTTGATTATCTTTTACTGATACATACAGTAGCATGTTGATTGTTTCATAACTGTAATACAACAATACATCAGTTTATTTCTTGTCATCCATAAAAATAAGAACGAAAATTCAGGGAAAATAAAATACAAATATGTTTAGGTTAATAATGGTGACTCGGATTTGCATTGGTCTACGTCATCACATAAAATAATGGTTGGAAATGAATTAGTCGGACGCACTGGCAACTTTACTTATACTGAACGTTTCATCAACCCTAGCTGCTTAGTGTCTGGCTGAAACTTTTCACAGATTTAAGAGTCTCTCATGGTTTATAATATAGACGAGATGTCCATCTACCTATTAAAGGCCGAGCATACTGTATAACAGTTCACTATGTATTACTTTATGGCTGAGAAACATGGCTTCTGAAAGTTGAAGGCAAAGGTAGAGCTCAGGATTTCAGTCATGTATCTTCGAGTCATTTGTCGCTTATGTTGAAATCATCGTCTGATCGATGCTGAAGTTAAACGTAAAGTAATCAGGAGTGATGATAAATCCGTTGATATGGTATGAATTGACTGGGATGTTTCTGACATTTATTGCGTATATTCATTTACTGTCTCCCTGGACGCGTGACGTTTGCTGGTGTAGAAGCATGTTCGTAAAAATCTAGGGGTGATCAAATCAAGACCTAAATTCATTCCATCAAATCACTGACTGTGTATCTAAGTCAATATTTGTAGGTGCAGACTACCTGATTGTGATTTTGACATTTATCGTGACCAATGGTTAGTAACGCTGAGTGATGTGGCTTAAAATCTGTTACACTGACGCAAAAGCATTTTATCTCTTCCCTTAAATCTTTAACTTCAAAATTTCCCTATACTCTCTATTCTTATTCATTGATTTTTCAAGAATCATTTTTTCTTATGCGTGATTTTTTTTTATAATATCACCGACACCGGTACAATCACAATCTTAATCATTCGACCCTACTATGTTGACGACTTTGACCTGTGAATATATGTGCCTAGTTTTACGTTATTTTCGACTCACTATCTGACTGCATCACTAATACTAACTGCTAACTTATTGTTGTGATGACTTCATTCAGACATATTAAAATTCTTTATAAATCTCAGGTCAACAGTGAGATACTTCAATAGATCTGTTCTGTGTTTTCATTTGATAACTTAAGCTTCATCGACTATTATCCTCTTCTGTAAATGTTTATTGAATATTCCATTGTATATATACAGTGAAGTAATTTAACGGCATATTTAGTTCAATAAATAAACGTTTATACGTTAACTGCATGTTAAAAATATACTTGTGTACTTTTTTTAAAATCTTCTCTTGTTGAAAGGAAGAAACACGTGTTTGTGCTGAATTATCTGCTATACAAGATAAGCGAAAACAACAACGTTGTGCATTAATTTCTAATGTTACACTAGCTGAACAAAATGCTGCTGATATAATCAAACAAATATTGGCAATTAATAAATCAGCAAAGTTAATAGAGAAGATGAAAGATGTATTCAATGCACATCAATTTATTTCTGCTGATTATACATCTTTGTCACAATCGAAACGAAACGAAATTCTAGGTTTGTTTTTGTCTTATTTTTCTCCTATTCTATGGTAGCTTTCTTTTTAAATAGTTTTCGGTGATTGTGTGTGTGTGTGTGTATGTGTATGTGATAAGTCTTCTAACTGAACTCTTGAATCAGTTTCCTAAGCTCTTTTAATAAACTCAACTAAATATAAATGACAACTTGAATACAAGAGGAAAGGTGCAAAGTGTGGAAAGAACGTTTTACTCCAAAGTCAGTCCATGTACAGAAAATCAAAGGTATTTATGGTATTTCAAATGGTTTTGGACTTATAGAAGCTTCTGGACCCATACTAAACATAGTAGCAGGATAGGTAATTATCCAACCAGAGAAACTTCCATTCAACGGCGATTGGGAAAAAAGGTCCCTCTGAACTTTTTTGAGGGATACTTTATATCTCTTCAACAGTGTGTAAAATAAATGTTCACCTTGCTCTTATAATTTTTCTCAGTATTCCTTTTTAGTTGTATAATAGATTTTTCATTATTGGACAGGAGGAGGGTGGATATCTTAAATTTGTTTGATAAATATTTATCTAGTTTGTTAGATTGTGAATATTACTTTTAGCTATCTGTTAGATGGACCAGTTCCTAGAGATATAACTTACTTGTCAGTGTGAAAATATTCCGAGTATGTCGATTGATTTCTTTTTTAGCTAATCGGTTCTGGGATATGAGTTAAGATGTTAGAAGCTTCTTTAAATAAACCTCTGTATGTTGACTTTCACTTTTTATCGAAATATACGTTCTTCTTGTCTTATTATTGCTCCTAGTCTCATCAAGTTGTATGTAGTCCATTGATCAAAGAGTACTAAATAAAGACCAATGAAGCACCACTATCAAAGTACAATGAGAAGTCTTGTTATAATAAAATTCAAAATTAACATTAAAGGAAGTAGATTGTGTCCGTCACAGATTGATCTCAGTCAGGGCACTGATATAAATCATGGAATACAATAATATTATTATTTCATACTCCCCAGTGATTTGATTCGAAATTTATTGTTGAAGTTTAATTGGGAATATCATTACAAGTGAAGTTTAGACATATCAGGAGTTGAACAGTTGTTACAGATGGTTTTGAATGATCGTCACACTATATCGCAAACTGATTGTATTTGAAATTGTACCACCAGAAGCCAACCCAGTGGTTCTAACAGTTAAAGCGTTGACTTCCAAACTTTTAGGTCCTGAGTTCGACCCCTAGCATTCTGCTGAGGGGTCTGATAATAGGACAAAACTTCTGTACAGTGCTTCTTAGTTTTCCGTGGTACCCAAACTAGAATAAATTTGCGACAAACTCAGAAAAACCCTTCGACTATACTAATAAACAAAGTGGACCAAAAGAAATAGTTATGAACTTATTTTAACGGATTTGGGGGAAACTTCTAACTTGGGAACCATTGAAAATCCTTAGAAATGCACTAATCAATTGTTTAATTCTATTGCTACGAATATTGATTACGTAATATGGTCATATATCATGACAGACATGCCATTACACTTTAGAATGTTACCATATTCCTTATTATGTTTTAACAGACTCTGAATATCATAGAATAATGATCACTAATTTTAAATAGTAATAGTATATCACTGAAAACGATACAGTAGAGTAATCCATTATCTTGTCAAACAGCTGAAATGATCTTTAACTGTAAGTTGTTTACATACATACAGGTTTATGTATGGCAGCTTTTATCGACACTGTTTGTGAGATAGCCTTTGATAATACTTTGTTGGTCAGAAGGGGTTTTGTGAAGAATTTAGTATTTTCATAGTTGAAATCATCAGTCAATTGAAGCTGGACCACTATGGAAAACCTGGAAGCACTGGACGGCCGTTTCGTCCTATTATGGGACTCCTCAGCAATGCGCATCCACGATTGGTTGGTCAATTCGTGGTAGATCCGATGGAAAAAAACCTGTGATATTCTAGATGAATGCGGAGTGTTTTAAGCCACCTGTTTCAACACTTGTTACAGTACTTTGGTAAATAGTCATTTTTATTCTATTGCTTATCATCAAGTTATAGTCATAGGAGAAACCTTGATGTAGGTTGTCGAAATGTAATCAAGATTTCAGTTCGGTCAAATTGTTGATTGTATTAGTGGAAAAAATGGTTGATAGTTGAACTTGTCATATTTAGATATCTTAGTTAATAGGTAATTCTTAGGTTCTGTTTGATAATCATCATCATTATTGGTGTTATAATTGTTTTCGTTAATAAACCACCCAGCTACTCCTATTGCTTAGCATTCTTATACGATGACACTCGACAAGACCCCCAAAAATCAGAACACGTTGAACAGGAACAAAATTGTATTCAAAATAACAAGGGTAGGTGAATAGCAATAAATGGTTAGAAAAACGTTCATATATTTATAGTATATGCATAAAGAAGCTTCTAGATGTTTTCTCCAATAATTTGCCAGAGCTGATTGGTTTAGAATTAGCCAATCAGTGTGCTCCATCACGATCATGCATATAACATGCCTTAATTCGGTTTATTATTTCTCGCTAACAATTTGTATTTTTAATCAGTTAGATAGAAACTGTGAATGATGCTTTGCTTGTATTAACAAAATTTTATTTAAACAGCTTCAATGCAAGAAATGTTGTCAGTTACAGATAACGCTTATGCAATTCATACAATGAACTTGAATTCTATAAAACTTCATAGTCTTTCAAATAATCAAGATTCTACTAGTGAATATGTTAAACAAGTTTTAGCGAATAAACGTGCTGATCATACAAAATTAACCTTTAATCTTATGCTAGAGGTAAGTGAAATGATAGTTTAACTTTTGTTAAGTTTCTCATTCAATTAGAATAATTGATCTCATCCAAAACACTGATTTTTGGATGATTGATGTGGCAGGACAGTAATTAAGCCTCATAGTTAGACATTGATTTAATTGAAGATGGAATAACCACTGTTGTTTTCATATCCTCCAATCGTTTATTTATTAAGTGACTTCTAAATATGGTTGTTCTTATATTCAATACTTTGTTTACAAGCCTATTATTCTGTAAGAAGTAAAAACTTATTCTACTGGAAAGATTCCTTGTATTTTGATATCAGTTCAATTGAGAGCATTACATTAATAATTCGGCTTCATGAACAGCTACCTCTCAGTCACATTATATTATGGTCTGTCGTTCAGTGATTCCAGGTTTTTCCTGGTGGTCTAGCTTCAATTGACTCACGCTTTCAACTATGAAAATACTAAATTCTTCACAAACAACCCCTTTTGATAATAATTGAAAGTTTGTTCATCAAATCAGAATTCATCGCAGTAGTAAACTTCATAGCTATATCTTTGATCCATAAAAAGATGGAGATTATATATTCACTTAAATTATAACACAGAGAGAAAGAGAAAGCTCATAATTTGCATTTAGTACTGGTTTAGTGAACAAGAACACGGATGGGGACAATCGAATAAATTTAAGCACAAATTACAGACTATCTCACTTAATTTTGATAACCATACAGTAAACAGTTAATTTGCAAACTATCAATCAATTGTCTCAATCTTAACTGTTCCTTCTGCAAATATCAGTCCATCTTCTCTGCTTTCATTGTTCATGCATTTTCGTGTCGATCGCGCTTCATTCCTGTTCTTTCCTTATCGATCTTTTGCCAAAATACATTCTATGTCTGACCATCACCATATACTACTTATGTGGATATAAGTAGACCACACCACACTGGGATCTTGTTAAACCCGTATGTCTATAAACCGAACTTATTATAACACAAAGATACTTTAGATGTACTTAAAAAATCATACTCCGAAGTTGTATAATTCATTTCAATCAATAAAGTGTATTATGTTGTTAGTTGTAATATTTATGCTTACCTGACCACTACACTATCTACCTTAATTTATTATGTTAGCCAAAAGAGAATTAGTCTTGAAAAAAGTGCTAGTAGTCTCTAGATCAAATGTAAAATTATGAGCAACATTATGTCTCTGAAATCAGGTGATGTATATGTCATGTCTTGACCTAGCCGTCGCCAATTGTTATGTCTTGATCAAGGTCGTCGCCAATTATTGTCCTTATCAACGTCGTCGCTAATCCGTTATGACCTTACTAATTAAACAAGGACGTAACTCGCGTAAATTATCCACCAATAGAATACGCCTTCTACGACCTTAACACTATGACAATGACGTTTGATTAGTATGAGTAATCTAGCGTCCTTAATCCGCCTAGCCCGTCCACTTGAGTCCAGAACACCAATGGCAGACTCGGCAATGTGAATCTATGCGAATGTGTGCGAATCGTTTATTTCAAACATACTCTGTTTGTATATCAGACAGACAGACCACATCACATCATAAAATAGAAAATAATATTTGTACAAAATCAAGCCAAATGTGGCTGTGAACGTGGGAGACAGTAATCAATAAACTGAGTATAATTTAGGAACAGTAGATCGTATAATAACAATCCCTAAGTCAAAATAAAGCTTATAATAAGATGGATATAGATAATCTAGTTACTGAATAGTTAAACAATAAGAATATACATAGAATAATAGTCCAATAATAGGTCCTGCAAGTTATCCGTATTTACTTCTTCCCTACTATATAATAGTATATTTAATAATAATAGTAATAAGGATGGAACGTTAAGCTCCATCCCCCACACACATACACACTTTTCGGTTTTTGCCCCTCTGTGAACCAATTCGACCAGTTTCCATTGTAAAAGATTGAATTCCAAATAATTCATATTGTAATAACTATGATTTATATTAAATGTGAGTTCTTTTTCTTTAAAAATACTTCTGATGAAGGAAAGTGTTCAAAAAGAAGCTTTTGCTCAGTTACAACGCCAAAAGGATGGTCAAGCTGTAAGATTACAAAAAGAGATATGCTTAATAGAAGAAGAACTTTGCCGGCTTACCTTAGCTGAACGATCACGTATTAATCAGCGTACTGAGGTTAATCAACGTGTTCTTGATGAGTGTAGATCTGAACTACTGCAATTATTAACTCAATTAATAGATGAACAACAAGATCGTCAAAAGGAATTACGAAAACGTTTGGTAAGTCTTGTAATATTGTTATTCTGGTAATCTTAGTAATAGGTTTTGTTAAGTATTTCGTTCTCTAGTCCAAATACCCTTATAGCTTAGTATTTTTTGAACACTTTACCTTGGTCCTCGAGATCCGAACACGGTTTGGACAGGTACGTCACCATACTCCATATAAACCAAATTAAATGAGAATGAATCACAATGAGAAAAACCTCAGCATATTTATAATTTTACTTTTGAAGATTCTAGAAACTTTTCCAGTTATCCATCGGCGCCTTTTGGCTAAGAATGGGCCAATCAACGTTCCCTAACATAGTTCGGTATAGGACATGCTATAGCCCAATTTATATCCTAATATATATAACTTTCACCATCCAAAATCAGTTTATGATTTTAATAATATAAATAAGTCAGTATGATTTACTGAAGAGACATGATGAGGTCACAAATTATATGATTGTTTCACACAAGTTAAATTCACGTATAGTTCAAATATATTGAGTAAGTGGAGAATCCACCAGACCATTTTCCCTACTGTTATAAACGTATAACAATCGTTATTGTATATGAAACGTGCAATGATACAGAAAATACGTACGAGCAGTCTTGATTACTATTCGGTCCTTCCTAACTGCCTAGCCCAGCCAGTTGAGTCCAGAAACACAAATAACAGCCTCGGTAATATGAATCCTTATTCACAAGCACACTGGGTTATATATACTAACCAAACAACAACCATACAACACCTACTATACTCTGATCTCTCCTATTTATCGTGTTTTTGTTTACATTACCTATTAATGATTGTCTGTTGTTATCAGTTGCCATGCAGTCATTTATCTAACATAACTAATTTGTCCTTAATTTCTTCAGCAAACTACTGGTTTTCTTAATAAACGTAACTGAGTTTTCTACAAGAGAGAAACTATTTTACTCAAAATAGATTTTACTATTTGAATAACACAGATGGAAGTGCTTTATTAGATATATAGTGGTTTTCTATAGTGAAATATACTTTCTTATGTATGTCTGTAACGTAGCTACTAGGTTATACATCAGTACATTTATCTAACCTACAGTTCATTTCATTCTATTCTATGATTCCCCATGAACTTTTGTTTCATGATCCAGTTTAACTAATTATCCATTGTACCTTCGTTAATCTGGTGACACGTGATATTGTTGAACTGCGATTGTACGTTTTCTCTACATATTCAAATAGTATATATATATATATATATATATATATATATATATATATATATCTGTTTATATTGTTTCGCCTTTCATAGAAATAACTTAACTCTTATTATATGGAAACTGATTTATAGGAAACTTCAACTGTAGCTCTTTTAGAGTAGGAGGGTTGGGCATGAGGATAGCGACCCCATCTCGTAGAAAAACTAACTCGCTGAAAAAACGCTAACCAGAAAAATTGATTCAAACCATTTAAACTCTGTTCTGGGAGTTGAAGGAAGAATTATGATGCCTCATTATAAAAGCCGAGATTTTTCGGAAGTCATGAGGCCGATGCCTCTTCTAACAACCAGAGCAACACTCTTTATAGGTGCATGGAACGTCTGAAGAATGTGGGAGACCAGGAAGATCAGTGAAATAGCAATAGAAATGAGGAGATACAAGTTGGCAGGACTCGGAATCAGCGAAACCGACTGCACACAAGCTGACAATAAAGGCTAGGTACGGAAGAGATGTTGCTGTACTCTGGTCACTAAGGGGAAAATGCTCAACACACGCAAGGAGTTGCTCTAATGCTGTCCGGAGAAGCACGAAATGCACTTGTAGGATGGGAATCTCATGGATACAGAATTATCAAAGCATCATTCAAAAGAAAGAAGGAGGGGATCGCCATGAATGTTATCCAATGTTATGCACCATCAATGATAGCAACGACGACGATAAATATCAGTTCTACTCGAGGCTGCAATCAATCATAGCTAAGTGCTCAAAAAAGGATCTCAACATCCTGATGGTAGATCTAAACGCTAAAGTCGGAATGGACAACACCGGATATGAAGATATCATGAGATGACATGGACTGGGAGAGAGAAACGAAAATGGTGAAAGATTTGCAAGCCTAAATTGGTTATAGGCGGCACAATATTCCCAAACAAAGTTACATTGATCTCGCCAGACCACACCACAAAGAACCAGATAGATCATATTTGTATCAACAAAAAATTCCAAAGGAAAATGGAAGATGTGACAACCAGTAGAGGAGCTGAAACAGCTTCAAATCACCACTAGCTGATTGTTGTCAAGATGAAACTGAAGCTAAAGAAACGCTGGTTAACTGGGGAAACAAAGGTTTAACACAGCCTTCCTTCGAGATACTCACATACTTAAGCAATTCAAGATAACTCTCAACAACAGGTTCCAATTTTTACAGGATCTACTGAAAGAAGAAGAAACCACGATGGAGGAAAACTGCAAAGGGATCAAAGAAGATCTAACTTAGACGTGTCAGGAGGTTCTGGGTCGCAATAAACACCATCATAAAGAATAGATCTCTATGGGAACCCTGGACAAGATTCAAAAAGGAAAGAACAAGAAGACAGCAGTTAACAACAGTCGAACACGAGCAGAGAAAATCAAGGCGCAAGCAGACTACTCAGAAGCAAACAAGAAAGTATGGAAAAGCATTAAAGCCGACCAGCAGAAATACATGGGAGAACTAGTAAAGACGTCGGAAAAAGCTGCAAGAGAAGGGAATATGAAACGATTATATGATACAACGGAGAAACTGGCAGGGGGAGATATAGTAGACCGGAGAGACCAGTGAAGGACAAAGAAGGAAAGTCAATCACGGAGACTCAAGAACAGAGGAAAAGATGGGCAGAATATTTCGAGGAACTGCTGAAAAGACCAGCTCCATTGAATCCATTTGACATCGAAGCAGCACCTATAAACCTTCCTATAGATGTCACCCCACCAACGATCGAAAAAGTCGAGATGGCCATCAGACAAATGAAGAGCGGGGAAGCTGAAGGACCTAAAAATATACCATTTGAAGGAATGTAGTCAGACATTGTAGTAACAGGAAGAACAAGTGCCGACGGACTTAAAAGAAGGATACCTCATCAAGATACCAGAGAAACGAGATCTGAGCAAATGTGATCATTTACATAGGCATCAGCTTGTTACCAGTACCAGGAAAAGTTTTCAACAGAGTGTTGCTGAACCGGATGAAAGACGCGGTAGACGCTCAACTTCGAGATCAACAAACTGGATTCCGTAAGGACCGTTCGTGCACAGACCGAATTGTGACGTTACGGATCATCGTAGAACAATCAATTGAGTGAAACTCGTCACTATACATCAACTTCATTGACTATGAGGCGTTTGATAGTGTGGTAGAAGGGCATTATAGGAACTTCTTCGACAATTTGGAGTTCCTCAGAAGATTGTCAACATTATCCGTAACTCATACGACGGACTACAATGCAAATTTCTCCATAGAGGATGGCTAACAGATGCATTCCAAGTAAGGACCGGAGTCAGATAAAACTGTCTACTCTCCCTCTTCCTCTTTCTTTTAGTGATTGACCGGATTATGAAAACCTTGACATCTGAGGGGAAGCACAGAATACAATGGACATTTCAAAATCAATCAGACGACTTGGACTTCGCAGATGACCTAGCCTTCCTATCTCATACGCACGAAAAACTGCAGACGAAGGCAACAAATGTAGCAGCAGCCTCTGCATCAATAGGCCTCAACACGCACAAAGGAAAAAGCAAGATTCTGAAATACAACACGAAGAACAACAACCCAGTCACACTTGGTGGCGAAACTCTGAAAGAGGTGGAAACATTCACGTACATGAGAAGCATCATTGATAAACAAAAAGGATCTGATGCAGATGTAAAATCTAGGATTGGCAAAGCAAGGGCAGCATTTCTCCAATTGAAGAACATATGAAACTCAAAACAACTGTCAACTAACTTCAAGGTGAGGATCTTCAATACGAACGTCAATACAGTCCTACTACACGGAGTTGAAACGTGGAGAACCACTACATCCATCGACAGGAAGGTACAAGTATTTATTAACAGTTGTTTACGCAAAATACTCAACATTCACTGGCCGGATACTATCAGAAACAGTGTTTTAAGGGAGAGGATAAACGAGCTTCCAGCTGAAGAGAAAATTGGGAAAAGACGCTAGGAGTGGATCGTACATGCATTGACGAAATCACCAAACTGCATCATGAGGTAATCCCTAACCTGGAATCCTGAAGGGAAGCGGAAAAGGAGGAGACCAAAGAACACATTACGCCGGGAAATAGAAGCAGATATGAAAAGGGTGAATGTTGACTGGAAAGGATTGTTCGGGACATGGTTAGATGGAGAGTGTTGGTGGGCGGCCTATACTCCTCCACGAGGGGTAATAGGCGTAAGTAAAAAAGTAATATATTAGAATCCCAGATATACAACAAAGTATGTATTTATTTAGGGTCTTTCTTGTATCTTTCTAGTTCGTTCAGTATTTCCGAGATGTTAGGTAGTTTCAGTTAGTCGGTCAAAAACTCCTTGTCACTGGAGTTTTGTGGTAGTTAACGTATATCAACATGGTATACCTATGATCTTGAGAAAACTGATGTTCCTTGTGGGATTCAAACACGTATCATCCAACTCTGCAGTCTGAGATGTTGCCGCTGCTCTATTAGGAACACGACTGAACTCCTGCAGGAATCAAACAAATATGATATCACTCACCATACTCAGTGATCGACCAATCATCGTATATCAATTATGCACACTTTTACTTAAATATATCTTTATATTAAAGGAGGAAATCGAACAACAAAAGAAAGACGACCAATTGGACTTTTGGTTAGTTCAATATCAACGTGTATTGAATTCAAAACCTGTCGAATTACTTGATAAGGTCAGTTTCATAATAATAATAAACTAGCTAACTTTTATAACTTCTAATTATTGTTACACGACTTACTCTTTCTTACTTATGGTTTATTAGTTTCGTACTGTTTCCTTCATTCTATACCACCTATATATGGTATGAATGCTTGTAAAGTATGATTTCGGATTTGGGTTGAGTTGTGGTCTGATAATTCATGTAAATAAGTGTTAAGTGTTTGAGTTATACAGTACTACCTCTGCATTACGACTTGTTTTCTATTATGGGACCGAAGGCTGAGTTAGAAGAAGCATATACATTTAGAAGTACCAATCGAAGTTATGATTATTTTCTGCCTCATACTCAAGATTCACAAATATTTAAAATATCGAAGTGGTAATTTCACTTAAAAATAAATTAAATTTATTGTATATTGATAGATTTACAGTTTCGTTCGGTGACAAATCCACAGAAGGGGTTTTATGGAGATTTCATTATCTTCATAGTTGAAATCATGAGTCGATTGGAGGTAGACTACCATGGAAAACCTGGAAGCACTGGATTGCAGTTTCGTCCTATTATGTGACTGGTAGGTCTTGGGTTCGAATCTCGCGAGGCGGGATCGTGGATGCGCACTACTGAGGAGTCCCACAATAGGACGAAACGGCCGTCCAATGCTTCCAGATTTTCCATGGTGGTCTAGCTTCAATCGACTCATGATTTCAACTATGAAGATAACAAATTCACACTATAAAACTGTATATTAATGCATAGATAGTATTGAAGATGAATGATATATTTGACGAAAGATAATTAGTAGTGAAAATACTGGATTCGAGCGGTGGAAAGTGGTTAATTTATTCAATTTCTTTCAGATACTTGATCATTCCTAATGCGATTTTGTTTTTAAGTTACTTCATATAGAAAACTTTCGACGATGATTAAGATTCAAATAATAGATAAGTTAATTTACTTCTCTGTCCTTCAACAATTAGAATTGAAAGGTATTTAAAATTTGGTCAAGTATTAATAGTAATGATAGTCAAAGATGGATAGTGGCTAGAAGTGGAATCCAGGACGCGCGTTTCGTCCCATTTGCGAATCGTCAGCTGGATGTACCTGCATCTCAGAGTTGACGTTCACTCTGGGACTCGAACCCAGTACCTTTCGCTTCAAACGCCATCACGTTATCCACTTAGCTATTAAATCCTGATAGCCACTTGCTTATGCTATGGGGTAAAGTTTAAATTCACTGATCAATTGCAGATTCAAACAATACCAAGTCAGTTAATAATACTCCTTTTATTCAATCTCATTGAAAAATTCTCAGCACAATCGTCTAAAATTTCAATAAACTTCACGTTTTATAAACATTTAACTTATGAATGTGTAGGAAACATTTTTGAACATTTATTTACTCCAATTTATATTCAACCTGTAGGTTTTCTTTTATAATATCTTACTCCTGTGATATCTGTACTCATTCCCAGATATGCTTGATGTACAAAACCTGCAGTAAATGCATCTTTCTGATGAGAAAGCGAAAAATATGCAAAACAATGTGGTAGTAATTGTAGTGTTACCCCCTACGTTTCTGAGTAATCAGATTAACGATTGGTTGTAGAAATTTTATGAAAGCACAAAAGTGCACGGAGTGCACAGTGTTCTACACTCACTTACTCTGCAAAAATTGATCTAGTCGTTGACACTATTCCTAACTTGATGTTATTTTCTTATCTGGGTACTTTGTAATGATTATTTAACTTCTTAATTTTAAGATAAGAACATTTTTTACTTTAAATTTTTGTAGACAGACTCAGATGTTCAAATAATTCTTAGTAATGCACAATCTTTGGAATTTTTGCCTAATTTTCAACGACATGCTATTACCTATTCAATTATGCAAACTATAACCGATAGTGATCTTAAAGAAGTAAGTTTGTCTATCTGTTTTTTTTTAAATTGTCCCACTGTTATATCTTGTGGCCGAGTGAATGCCTAGTTAATGAGTGACTTGATAAAACCGCCAATCAGAGAGCAGCGAATTATCTATTGGAACAGTGACACACGATAACTGTACGAGCAGTCTAGAGCGCTTGTCGATCCTGCTTCTGCCTAGTCTAGCCAGTTAAGTCCAAAACACCAATAACAGCTTCTGTGGTATGAATCCTTGTATTTCAAACATACTGAGTTTATATACCATACAGACTAACCAAAACGTACCAATAAAATAGAAAATAACATTTGTACAATAATTGGCCAAATGTGTCTGTGAATAGAGGGAGCAGTAATTAATAGACTAGGTATAACTCAGGAATGATAATTCGTACAATAATAGTCTACGGGTCAAAATAAAGCTCATAATAAAAGGAACATGAATATCAGTAGTTTAATTATTTAGCAAATATACGATAAGAATTATATGCATAATACTGGTCAATAAATGGGTCCCAAACTTACCATTCGCTATTGTTATCGGGATATAACATCCATTCAGACAGTTCTTTTAAATAAATTTATACATCCGATAGAGTACTATCATTCTGAAGTTTTCATTCTTTGATTTCATTCATTTTGAAATAATCTTATTCATTAAAGTTTTATGATGTGCTTTCATATTGTTAGTATTCAGAACTGCATTGAATCCAGTTTCAAGTTCTATTATATTTTTGAATGGTGGTTATCAGTGGAATTCAAGACGTTCATATTGTCCTTGATTCTTTTCAGCTGAATATACTTGTATTATTTTAATGCTGATGTTTCTACCGAGACTAACCCATTTCCTATCGCTTCTGTAGAGAAACGTTAGTGTTTTATTTTAACTGTATACAATTCAAAACATATATAAGCGAACAATATTGTTTTCGATTACATCCTCATCAGGCTTTACTCTAATATACAGTAATATTTATGAGCATATACGAAATCATTAAACCAATCAAGGCAGTCTATGAGTCAATGATAACAGTGGAATAGATTACATAATTAAAATTAATAATAAGTGAAAAGTACAAATTGGTAGTCTGATAACAAGTGTACTAGTTGTGATAAGAATAATAAAGGCTTGAATCAATGTTACATAATAGGAAAATAGGTCAATTATTAGAAAAATATAGACACTGAAATAACATTCATAAAAATTATAAGATTACGTAATAAGAAATGTTCAGATAATTGGACCGTGAAACGAATATTTGAAAAAATAAATAAATAATTGGTAGGAGGGGGTGAAGAAGAAAATAAACGAAGAAAGAGTATGGAGAATAAAATTTCTTATGAACACAAAGGCTTGGATTGTTGGTTCAAATTCCTATAGCTTCTGCTATGTGTAAGAGACGCGATCGAACCCCATAAGGAAAACTAGTAGGAATACGGTAAATAACTTTAAATGACTGATTCCTGTCAACTATATGACCGCTATCGATCAAATGTTAAAAAACCGAGCTCCATATTGACTTGGCAATATCTTTTCCTAACCACGAAGGGAGGTGTTCACTAACTCTTTTGTTCAGTTGTCTGATAAGGCGCTCCCAGTGTGATGATTAAACTTCGCTGATTTGTGGTTCGATTTTAGATCCTAATTTACAACTATCTAAGTTACTTTTCGATCTCTCACACGCAATGAAATAGTACAAGTATGTACATCTTGAGAACTAGCTAAAAGTAGAATGAACCGCTGTATACTTGAAACACAATGTTATGCAGTTTATATATTTCCCGTACATTGATCTTAAGTTATGACTGTTTTTAAAGGTAGCTTTTTTAATTGACCTTTTTTTGTTTCAAAAAAAATACGTATAATAAAACATAGATTGGTATTCACGCTCTTGGAGCACGTCGTGAGATTTTGAGGCAGATTGGTTTGTACAAAATGAAAACAAATGATGAAGACAAGGTATTTCTAACACATTTTTCATTGTAATTTTCTTCGCTTCTAAAATTATCATGTAGACCAGTGATATTTTTGATTGAAATTAGCTAATTCAAAAAGTAATATTACATGTTCGTTTCTCGTGAGAAATACCGCGATGTAGGTGTTAGCTTGGTAGTATTATGAGCCGTGATGCTATCCATTCAGGTTTGTTGAGGGAAACATGAAACCTAAATTAAAATCTGCAGGACCTAATACAGTTCCTAACTCTTTTAATGAACATTTAGTGCAACTGAGATGCTGTCGCAGACACTTTGTCTAATGAAATCCTTGAGAAATATTTTTATGCCTCCCAGCTTCGCATCATCCTTCTCAGCCCAGCTATCATCCATGGATCAATTAAGGAAAAACTTTTGCATTGGGCCACATCAATGTGTATTTATACGTCCACCTATTCTTGTGAAGCAGGTTACGTAGGCTGCACAAAGCAAGCAATTTCCAAACGTATCTTCAAATATTTTCACTCGTGGCTTTCGGAAAGTGAATGTAATCAGTTAACAGTTCAATACTGTGAACAAAGGTCATTTGGGATAGCCTGATAAACCCTTTAAAATGATCTTTCTAACTCCTGAATTATAACTATTGAACTTACTACATGTAGTAATTTAAATCGATAATGTATTTCATACACAATAATTGATAATTCTTCTAATCACTTAATTATAGTAGCAGGTCGATTCAAAATTAGCGCTCATAATAAAGTTACTCTATATATGACGTATTCGGACACATCTTTTTGTTCATTTGTAAAATTGTGTTGTAGATTGTTAGTAGTAATAAGATGTAAGAGGTTTGACGGATATGAAAATAAACAAATCGAGCATTCACAACATAAGTTTTTCGGTGCATGGGATAGCCTTAAAAATTCATCATCAACAGTTGATTGGAATATAAAACAACAAAAGCATACAATGTGGAGAATCCATGGTTAGGACAGCAGTCAACATTAAACAATCGACAATCGAAATTAGCCGTGTATGTGGACTCTTACTCGCTGGTAGTTTTTAATTCAAACCTCAGTAAATATAACTTCAGTTGTATTTCCTTCAAAATAGACAATTATGTATTAACAATACTTAGAGTGCATTATCAGCGCTACAGTTTATTTAAACTTATAGTGTACCAAAATGTTCGTGATAATCCATTATACAATTTCGATTGATTCCTTTTTCTATTACAGACGTTAAATACGATAGAATCACCTCCGATGCCGTATGTAACACCATCAGCTCCAGAAGGTACATTATCAAGTATTGTTGTATCTGACGAAGTTGTGGCTCGTATGGAAAATGAATGTTGTATATGTCAAGATGCAATAGTGAGTGGAACATTGTTTTACACATTTTGTTAATGTTTCTGAGTACATTTTTAATACTAAAAAAATGTCGACTACAAAATCCTTCAACTGACTGCGTTGATCATCAAAAAACTATGAGTCACAATTGGATGTTGTTCCATGTTTAAAGATTTAGGTCGATGCATCCTCGAATAAATCTGATACCTTTCTGATTTCCCGTTTTTGAGCTTTAATTAATTATGATAACTAAGATCTTATAAAATATATTTCTCAGGCCAATTCCCACAGATACGATATGTACGTCTATGCATGAAGTGGCCATACAGGGTAATGTCCTAATATTTATAGTAACATTAGGAAACAGCTCTTTGGAAAAATAAAAATTGTTTTACCGTATTTTTAGTAAAACGGTATATATATTCATTCACACAATGAAGCAAAATCGGTGAGATTATAATTTGTAAACGACCTTTGAACGACGACCAAGTAACCTTGATAAAATTCACCTTACTACCAGAGTTAAATGAAGATTATAAATCAGTTTGAGGAACTAAGATCAAAACTTGCAGTTGGACGTCATAGTTTTCATCACGAATTGGCATCAGCTATAATGTCAAAATGCTATTTATCCACATGGATAAATGATTTTAGCGCTAAAACCCAAGACTTTTTAAATTAAATCTCATTGGCTTGTCCATAAATTATGGTCTCGTCGCAAATTCTTATGCGCTCAGTAATTAATCACAGAAACAAAGGTTTAATCCTAGTGGTTGCTTCCTCAATTTAAAAAACACTTTAAGCTGAATTTCATAACACTGATATATGAAATAACTATAACTTCAACATATATGAATTCACTTAGTATTGTTTGTTTAGATCTTCCCATCGATGTGTTTAGGACTGCAACTGGTCAGTCTCTAATTGGCATATGTGCATACTGTGCGTATTGCCTCGATATACCTTAATTCACAAGCATGGTAAGCATAGATGGATAGTGGCTAGCAGTGGAATCCAGGACGCGTATTTGGGACTCGTCAAATAGGACGAAACCATACTCTTCAATTCGTAGTTTTTTTTCTCATTATCACATTGCTGCTGCAGTCATTTTAACTCTGTTGCCATTCATTCTGTTAATTTCATCTCGCGTTAATTTAGTGTGTCAGCTTGGTCTAACGCATATTTGTGCTAGGCTGTATGTAGCTTAAGATTGATGCCCTACCGTTTTTAACCCTTAGATTTTCATTAACTATCATACTTTTTTATTCCAAATACAGTGCTCAACGATATTCCTTCCATGTGGTCATGTCTGTTGTTGCAAGAAGTGCTCTGAAAATGTCCTTGATTGTCCACTGTGTCGTTCCAACATACACAATCGAATTCAATTACATTTTTGATTATGGTAAAACTAGGTACAGTAATTTTTCTGCTATCGATCAGTTTTTGCTGCCATATATATATATATATATATATATATATATATATATATATAAAGAGAGAGAGAGAGAACGCAGCTGATTCCAGAGATCTTAACATTTTTCTAACTTTCAATGCTTTGCTAATCACATAAACTTACATTACATAACTATGAATAGAATTCTTACAACTGAATGTACTATTTATTATTTTGTAATCAGCATGCATCTATCCACAGTATAACTTTCAAAAAAGCATTTTGTAAAATACTGGGGGAATCAGGATTTGTGGTAGGTATCAAGAAGATCAGATTTCGGCTTTAAAACTACTTTGTCAGGAATACTAACAAGCCAACCAGGTTCCAGTCCATGAAATATTTGTCGAGGATCTTTCCGCATACACATCAGTTTTCGATTGGATTCCGAGGATGAACTAAAATCTGTTGGGCAATAACCATATTTTTGAGCCAGCCAAATTCGAGATTTCGCTACTGCCTCAGGGTCCGCCAGGTAACCTCGAGACTCAGCGTCCGCGTAGAATGGAATCAACGTCTGTAAGAAGTAAGAAGCAGAATACATGTGAAGTCGAAGAATGATGATCAAACACCGAATGAGACCAACTGATTTCATAACCAAAATTTAATATTTCTTTACTAAACAAAAACCAAATTACAATGTAGTAACATGGTGTAAACCAGATTCTGATATTTTCCAAATTTCAACTAAATTTTGTTCCTACTGAGTATACGATATAATAATAATAGTAATAATAATAATAATAATAATAATAATAATAATAATAATAATAATAATAGCAAACTAAAAGTCCCTAGATGGTAACATTTTATTGAAGTGATAAATCCAAAATGAGATTTAACTACAAATTTAGTATGAAGGGCTTAAAACGAATATGTTCATCCAGTAAACACAGTACACTGATATTTAGCTACATTAAAGTTGATACTCCTAGCTATATTTGTCCAGTGATAAAGTAATAGATTAATTATGAACATTGAGACTGAGCATTTTAAAATGAAAATTGATTTTCGGAGTAATGAAGAAATACTCTAGATGTAGTCGCTTATTTAACCAGGTAAGAATCCCAGATTTATGACGAAATAAAAATTTATAATGTATGTCCATGTACTGAGAATAGTACGTTTTTGCAACCAACTAAGAGAAACCAACGAGAATGCGTCTACGAATAAACCCGCACCATAAAACTGCCTTAATCAAATTTTTACCAAAGAGGAGTAGCCAGCAAACAATATATTACTACCATGTTAACAGATAACAAATTCAACAGTATCAGACGAATAGAAATAAAGTGTAGTGTATGGTAATAAAGTAAAGTCTGCGTTGCAACACATACTGTGACATTGGGTGGTGCGAGCTCAAACCCTACAGAGACCATCGGCATTCTCAAGATTGGGGATCCAACTTGTTAATGAGTGTCTACTAGCATAATACAGACATTTAAGGCTAAATGCTGATTTTCTCCAACTGTTTAACATTAGGTTAATGATCTCCATTTTATGCTGTTTCACAAACTACAACACTACACTTAAACTTGAGTTATTATCAATTTCTAATTTTAATTCGGTACATTAAAATCATATGTTTTTCAGTTGCTCTAAAACTGAGTTCTATTATGAAGAGAATTCTCTACCAACGTTTTCCAACTGGATATATAAACACTACAACTATATATATATACTTTTATTTCAAGTCATTTGTTTTCAAAAGAGAAGATGAAACAAGTAACAGGCTTAAGAAAGTGTCTATTAAGTGCCGACAAAAATCAGAGAATACACGTATGTCTGTCGGCATATCGTATGACATCTATTTATCATTTGTCTTCTACAACTGAAGTGTAATTTACACGCAGCCTACGTTAAATGCATTGTTTTGATTTCGAACTATGCAGTCAGTAAGTAAAGACGGGAGAATCGACTTATAAGAGAGCTACTTTTACACAAAAAGGGACCGATGATAGCCACCGCTTCTTTACATGTGGTAATCTGTGTTTAGCTGAAAGTGTTTGTGGATGTGGGCATATTGGATTTTGATAGAATAATTAACGTCTCTGTCGTGACCGGACAAAACATCTTATTCTGATGGGGAGCTTTCAGTATTATAAAAAAAAGTTGAAAAGTGCACATAGGAGTCTTCCAAAAAAACACTGATAGATATTCACGACCACTTCAATTGGTACAATTAAAACTGTTTGTTTCTTCCGAAGAATTTCCAGGGAATTAGTATAGTAAAAATAGGACTTTTAGTGGGCATTTTGAGCTTAAATGTGCTTCAAAAAATATTAACCATGTTGAACGAAAACCTGTCGTTATGGATTAATAAGTCATCATTTTATGAAACCCGTACAACACTTAGATAGATAATTTACTATTAACTAACGTTAAGTTTCAATCAAAAAGAAAATTTGATAAAAAAACGAAGTCAACATGTGTGGAAAGAAGAAGGAAACGAATCTGCAAAGTACCAGTTAAGAGAGTGTCCTTGATTAGTGCACACAAGATAAAAAGTATGACAAGATGTAACTAACCATAGTATTTTACCAACGCATGCGTAAAGGTTTATTTGCATGTCCACGATAATTAATGCTGTTTTCAATTGATAAAATAAATAGTAGCTGCACGAAACAGGTAAACATCTTGTGACTTACATTAGGAGGTAATTTAGCTTTTGGGATCGGAATGCCTTTCATGAAGAATCCTTGAGGATCAGATTTTACCCAAACAGAATACAGATCATAATAACGGTTACAGATTATTCCCCCTACTCTTTCCACAGCTGCAATTACTTCTTCGCTAGCATACTGAACTTCAATATTAACAGGAGTAACAAAGTTATCGATACCCTACAATTGTTTAAACAGTTTATTACACAACCTTACTTCGTCAGTTAGATGGAAACCATATTGTCGATCATGATCCACATTTAAACGATAAAGATTGGTGTTACATAGTGTGGAAATGTCAATAGGCTCTAATGGGTTTATTCGATTAAGGTCTATCAATCTTTGAAGCTCTAGAAGCGAAATACGGCAGAGATTGTTTTCAGACCTTGGTTTGTAAGAAGCATTATGTATTTACTTACATGCTGTTAATGTTGTAAGGTTCTTTAGGAACAGAGAGATAAAATGGTGTCTTTGCATCCAAAACTCCCAAGGGTGGAAATGCTTGAAACTGAGAAGCACCACGATGACCAAGACCTCTTCGCATTCGTCTCAAACCATGATACTTCTACTAGCAATGAAGATATGTATACCAAGTTTCTTACGGGTGGTTTGCTTCCTGGGAGATCAGATATATTCTGAGGAGAAACTCGAGGATACTTTCTTAACAAGGCCAAAGCTTTGTCTACTGTTGGCATCTTTTTTGTTATCACGATGGAGGCGATAATCCAAACAAATTATTGATAATGGGTTGTTTTCCTCTTACTGGACAGTCAATTAGCAATACTTTCCTAAAAACCTAGTATGGAAATGTAGTTTTTAGAAATACAAGCATAAAATTAATTAGCAAAGCATTTATTATTGCAAACGATTTAGGATTATGGTGAACTGAAACCAGAAAATATATCATAACGACAGCTTCAACTGAACGTTCTTTGGACTACATGTGTTATTAGCATAAGTAACTAGTACAACCTACAACTTATTTTCCAAAGTACGACGTACGTTGACAGTCGCCTTCACTTAGCCTGGCAAAGTTGGCTAACTTTGTTCTTTGATACCTGCGTCTGGGTATTAAAAGAACATTTTGATAATGGGAATATATGGCTCTTGTTATATCCCTCCTAGAAACTGAAGGAAAAAACAATTGAATTGAGGGTAGGAGTAGTTGAGGAGTAACATCCGAAATAGTCTCTCTTATTACCTAAAGTTACCTTTGAGCCTTATTTCGAAAGACTCATCAGAGGATGCCATCACTATAACTTCGTGTAGGGAATCCCACAACTCACTAGTCCGGACTGTGAAAGGGTTTCCATGCACTTTCGTGCGAGCTCTTTAACGCTCAACCCTAAATGTATGTCCTAAGTGCAATTTATAACTAAAATGAACAAGTGACCTGTTAGAGTGAATAGAATTATAAAGGTGGCATCAGTCAGTAAAGTCACTAACTTCGGGTTTGAGTCATGTTGGTAGATTCAGACTACTTGGTTTGCGTCCGCGCGACTATCGCGACCAATGGTTGCAGAGTCTGAATGACATAGCTCAGAATCGATCACAATGGCGTAGGTGTATGCACTCTTTATCTTCCCTCAAACCGTGAGATTAAAATTGTTTTATACCTTTTCTTCTACGAACTAACTCTCCCTGTATTATATATTTATATGCAATCCTTTTTTATAAACTACTACCACCGCTGAAGTAACTGCTTCTACTAATTTGGTGTTCATCTTGTGCTGATAAGATGTAGAAACTTGGAACGATGCATATGTGTGCCTGGTTTTACGTTGTAGATGACTGACTGATACCGTAGTCCTGAGTGTGTAGTAGTAACTTCTGCCTAAATAAACTACATTCATAGTCAATCAGGTGTAGAAGCCTAATAGTTATTTATTTATTTGAACACAAATATAGCCTAATATTATGCAGTTCCGGTGCACCCTCTAAGAACTGGGAAGCCTTGGAAGTGGGTCATCAAAAATTCATTTAATTACAATTTATTGTAAACTGATATCGCTCTATCTTTATCCCAAGACATTGGAAATGTCACCGCATATGGACTACTGTAGTCTTCTGTACCGGACGTAGTCATCATTCACGATGATATCAGTCAAAAAAAGATCTACTTACGAAGAAGAGTGAACTTGTGGTCATCTGACTCAAGTTCATTGTTGCTGAGGTTAGTCGACCAGATGCGCAAGTGCATCCTACCTTATGGAAAGAAGACATAAAGGCGATCAGTTCTGAAACCTAGACTGAGTACTGCAAAGTCGACTTCACGCATTATGATGAGGCATGAAGTCACGTCCAGTAGTTATAAAAAAATGTAACTCAAATATCTTTGCCTTTGATAGATCCAAAGAAAAACCACGGTCATCCCCGGATAGAACAGGAAATCTCATATTTACCAAGACAAAATAAAAAACGTTGGAACATCATTATCAACCTTGGGACAGCGAACACAAGGAACGCCACAAGTTGGTTCGAAATTAGTGTATAAACATAATCCGGACAACTCAGCGGAGATACGGAAAGCAGTTGACACAATCTGTAATCAAGAAGCCGAAACGAATGTTCGCTTATATTAGTCACAGAACAAGGACGCATCTTTGGACAGTCAGTCAGTTACAACGTAGAACTTCGTACGTACGTACATCAGTTCGAGTTGCCATACCACATTAGCACAGAGATGAAGTTGTCGATTCAAATCCCATAGTGGTAGAGGTAGTAAGAGTATAAACATTATGTGAAAGATTAGGGTTTGAAGATGTTATTCAAGGAGTATAATACGGTGAAATAAATTTGGAAAGAGAAAAAGATAAAGACATAAGGAATTCAGAAGATTAGAATTTGGTAGAACACAAAGAGTGGATGCACCTTCGCCATTGCAAACGATTTTGAGACATGTCATTCAAGGTCTCTAACCATCGATTGCTATGATCTCGCGAATCCCAACCAGGTAGTCTACACCTACCAACATGGCGCAGTCCACTTGTCAGTGACTTCATTGATTTGTGCCACGTTTTGGTCTGGCCGCCCCTAGCTTTCTTCCAACCTGCTACTACACCATAAAGCATTGCATGTCGGGGCAGTCGGTGGCTGGGCATACGTAACACGTCGCAGCCATCTCAACTGATGAAGTTTCACTACTCCATCAATCGATTTGCCATCCTTACCTAGTACTCGTTTCCTAACATCTGCATTACTTACCCGGTGGTCCCAGGATATACGAGCAGTGAGTCGAAGACACCTATGATCGAACACTAGTAGCCTACGAATATCCTCTACTCTTATCGGCCATGTTTCACTGCCATAAAGTAGGACGGAACGGACTCCCAATCCAATTACAGAAGAGAGTGAATTTTAAGTGATAAAGGAAGACCAGGACAAAGCAGAAGGCCTATTGTAAGACCGAGAGTGGGGAGAGTCCGCTCTCCCTCTCCAAATACTTTCACATGGCCTCGCGTATATAGCGTCTGCCACGGAAGTCCTACTCACTGCCTTCTCGTGGCAGGGGTGTTGTTTACGAAATTGAGAGGACGAAAAGCGAATATCCGGCGCTTTAACTGGGTTGGTGGACACAGAAAGTCCACCTACGGGAGTTGGAAAACCCTGATTCCAAACCAATGGTGCACATGGGCTCCAGGATCCTGAGGAAGGAAATGGCGTATGCATCAATTATTGGTCACCGTCTACCATGGGACTGCATCTCCTCACGATGCTCCACTGCCTTGTGGATCAGACTTTTAGGTCAAAGGCTCCGGGTGCGGCCCCCTAAGAAAATTACCTGCTTCAGTCTGGGCACCTGGGTAGTATCTCAGCCCTCACACAAATCAAATGAGATTTGTGAGGCGCATATTTATCCGGTGCTTTCTATACCAATATTTATGTGTTTAAATAAATAAATAAATGATAAAATGACCTCCGTCGTCTACTATCGTCATCGGTCTTACTCTATGCTGACGATGTCAAGATATGGAGAGCGATACAAAGCAAGGGCGATAGTTTAGAACTTCAAAATGACCTGCAGAGATTATCTGAATGATCGCAAACCTGGCAATTGCCGATAAACACTTCCGAAAGTATTGTGATGCATATTGGCCACCAGGGTACAGATACATACACGATGAATAACACTGAGTTACCTATTGTTCAGGCACACAATAACTTATGCGTCATCGTCAGTCAAGACTTAAAGACTACTGCACACTGCCGTGCAATAGCCGCCAAAGGTTTTAGGACTTTATGGTCCATACGCAGGGCTGTTAGGCATCTCGACGCTAAAACGTTTCTGACTTTGTATACAGTGTTCGTACGCCCTAAACTTGAGTACTGTATACAAGCAGCTAACCCCTGCCTAAAAAAAGACAGTGAACTATTGGAAAGGGTTCAGAGAACAGCAACTAGGCTGATTCCCGGAATAGCGAAGCTCCCGTACGGTACTAGACTGACCAAGCTAAACCTATTCCCGCTGTCATATAGAAGAATCAGAGGCGACTTGATTACAGTTTTCAAATTGCTTAATGACAAATTTGCACCTGATATGCCCTCATTTTTCTTGTCTTCCAAAACAGAAAATCTACGAGGACACTCATAAAAAGTTCACAAGCCCAGAACGAATTACTTGTCAGCTGACTACCGACTTTCCCATCGAATAGTCAGCGAGTGGAATTCATTACCTCAGCACGTGGTTGAGGCTCCATCCGTCGACTCCTTCAAAAGAAAGTTGGATCAGCTGAGAGACCATCATTGCCAGGACTAACACAGGCAATCGAGACTCCTTTTCTTTTACAAACTGAAACAGAAAACTGAGATTCAGGGAGCAAAAAGTCTGAGTTGACATCGCGTTCGACCGACAGAACCGAACAAAACTCTTCATCCAGTAGCCTTGTAAACTCTCCCTGCTGAGCGCCAGTGCACACAAGCGTCGTAGACTTCATAAGTCATTTGACAGAGTAGATAATGAACTTTTCTTCAGTAAACCGAAACACTAGTTTTAACGCACATGTGAATCTAACAACAAGAAACCAAACAGCATCTGAGTCTCCCATGTGCGGTTAAAACATGTGAATTGTGACTCAACATTGAAATAATTAGTTTTCTGTGTATACTTAACACCTATTTAAACCTACTTTCTATCTGAAGTCCCTTGACCTTGGGAACGAATGCACTTTAATGAGCCCGCCTGAAGATTGTATCCTTGAATCGATTCCACTCTATGACTTTGTCGGTAAAGTACATTGAACTTGGAGATAACGTATCATTAAGGTCTTAGTTTTATGACTCAGAGTTTCGGATTTGTGTATTGAACATGAAAGGCAGATGTCATGTGTTGCCCCTTTTCTGGTAAGCCGCTGTAGCGCCAGTGAAAAGTCACTGAGCCCTAGCTAAATCATCTGGCAGTTGGGTCACTGAATATCGAGCATATCATCAATCCCTGTCAAAATAAAGGACAACCAACGCGCAGCAGTTAATCGTATGTCATGCACTGGCCCATGTGGTGGTGATCATACTTTCACCTGTACCTACTTCAACTAATCTACTTCTGTAATAACATCCTTTGTGTTATACGGTCTTCAGAGCATCCATAGTAACTTGATATGAGGAAGAGTTTATCTACGTTAGATCCTGACCGCGAAGTGTGACTTCAACGTTAGCTGTTGATCACGTCATTCCCGTCTAACTCCGGTATGTCCTCGAT